TTTAACAAATATATTTACAAAAATTACACAAAAATATCTTGAAATACTAAAGAGTAAATTTATTCAATAAAATTGCCATTGGTTTCAACCACGACCTCCAGACGACTTCGGAATCTCCTACAACTCTTCTGGATAATCTCCTTATTTAAGTTGTTAAATGCTACCATAATCTTTACCTTCAGTTCATCTTTCATATTACAAGGAGATATGTTGGTCTCCCGCTCAGCTGCACCTTACACATAATGATCAAGGTGGGTGCAGTCTAGGGAGTTAGGTGGCCAGATGTAAGGGGTGATGTGATCACCGAAATTGTTTGAAAGCCATGAGTGGATTCTCCTAGTTGCGTGACATGTTGCAAAGTCCTGTTGCCAGACATATGGTCTTCCAACAACCACCCTGACCCAGGGAAGCACAACCTACTCAAGTTAATTGATATAGGCCTCCGTATTGAGTCTGAGACCCTGTGGGAAGATGAATGGAGACATAACGTCACCCTCAGTAGTGATCACTCCAAAAGCCTTCGTAATCACCATTACACTCATCAAACTCTTCCCGAATCCTCTACACTATCCTCAGATGGACAACTAAACACTCTGAGATGTTTGTATTGGAACTTCTTCAGACGACAATGCCTAACAGTACAGCATGCTGTTTCCAAATTCCTGGTGGAGTGAATTGCGTCATGGTGCTCTTTTTTCTCACAGACGGACGCGAACTGACCCGGCTATAATCTGCAGTCAACTAAATCAAAAACACACAAGGCCCATGCGCGAAACTAAAATTATAAAATGGTGACAATTTGCCAATCGCATCCCATATATATATATATATATATATATATATATATATATATATATATATATATATATATATAATAAAAATTTTTTTCAGACAAGGTTGTTTATTTTGTTCACGAAACGGTTTATTTTTTTTTTTAAAAGTACTCAATTCCTAGTTCAGAAAATTGAAAGTGCTGAACTAGTTAATATTTAAAATGTTACAAACACTAATGTTTTCATCTATCACGATTTCTACCAGTGAAGTTTTCCTGAGACAGTGAAAATATATATATATATATATATATATATATATATATATATATATATATATGAAGATTGCCTTTAAGCATGAACAGACAGTTGCCGCTGACCTCAATGTCCATATATATATATATATATATATATATATATATATATATATATTATATATACATAGACAGACTGTTTGGCTGTACCACAGCTCATCATCAGTTTGATACACATCCGGCTCGAAACCTGTCTGAATTGGCGTCAGTCGGAGATTCTACCCCTAAGCCGTTTGCGCACGGCAGGGATGAAGCTAAATTGAAACATATTTATTTTAGATAAACATACCGTGTTTACTGAGAGAACCTGATTCCCTTTTCCGAAGAGTCTTATCTTATATATATATATATATATATATATATATATATATGCGTCGTTGTATGCGCATTAATTAAGCGAATGATTATTCTGATTTCCTGTGCACACTGTACATGATATGCTCTTACTGATTACAGTGTTGATTTCTGCGCTAAGGAAACGCTCCATTAACTTCATTTCGTGATTATAACGAATATATGCATGTAATCTTCGAGGGTATGCATCAGTTAGCAAGTAAACCGACAATGAATAAGTACACTTTAATGCTGATCATCCAAATTGACATAACGAATAGGCGATCATCTTCAACGCTTTCCTTTCAATGATTCGTTAGTGAACAAATATGCTTTTAGGCGGGTAACCGTAATGCCTATCTCCATAACCTCGATGTTTCTGTTTTAAGATTAAATTGTTTACCTTGTGACTATGGTGATGGTGTTTTCTTGTTGATTTTGGCTTTGCCAAAGAAGATGTCGTTCGACTTTTAGTGCACGGTCTTTGCTGTCCAAATAGAGAAATACTGTGTTACGCATTATGCAGATTTGATTAAACCAATATCCAAAACTTCCACTGCAGCCTAAATCGTTAATGTTTAGTGTATAGTAGTCTTTCAAATGGTTTATTCATTATTTATTATCGTATCAAGGAAAAACAATAACAGCAGCTTCGTATTGCGGGGAAATTGAATGTATGCACGAAGCATTGAAAAAGAAAGATCCTAAGTTTGGGAATAAGGATGTCCCAATTTTGATTTCCGAGAATGCACGGCCGTGTGCTTCTCAATCAACTCTCCAAAAGTTGCATAGACTGAATTATGAAATTTTACCTCATCCTCTATATTCACCAAGACAGCTAGCAACTAGTATCGACCCCAACCTCAGTTCTGTCATTAAATTACGCAAGCTCATTAAATAGGTTACTGGAAGTTTTCCTCTGTCACTCTTGTCTTCAAACTGCCCCGGTAGTGTCAAAATACCCGTGCCTGCTTTCCTCATTGTATCCCAGAAATTTCAATTTTCATTTTTCAGCTTCTAACTATAAGTATCATTATTTGTTTTCATTCTACTTAACATTTTCTCGTTCCTCACATGCTTCGTCCATTGCATTCTCAGCATCCTTCTGTAGAGCCACTTCTTTGTTGCCTCAAGTTACACCTACAAATGTCAAGAAAGTGTCCAGGATTTGCTATCACATAGGGAGTCTGATATTAAATAGCAGTTCAGCACACTTTCTTTCTTGTTTCTTAATACTTGTTTGGCTTTTGGAAGACGTCTTTCGCCTTTTCAATGCGCCTCCACATATTTTAAATCAGTTAATTTATAATATTAATGCTCTGTAAATTTACATTTAGCACTATTTTGTAAAAATAAAAATATCTATAAGAACACCGGATTATATATCTTACTGTTCTTTTCTTATTATTTATATATATATATATATATATATATATATATATATATATATATATATGTGTGCGTGTGTGTGTGCATAATTTGGTCTAATTACTACAGGTGATATGCAACCCAGCAGTGTCAATCGCATGTTTGTATTATCTGGGTTCAATGGGTATATTTTTGGCCGAGCCCACGGGCACGGAGTGCCCACGTTAAACCGGCCTTTGTTACACGACGCCCTCGTGGGAGGACGACTAAATATAGTCTGCGACTATACCGTTTGCACCATGAGGTTTTTCTAGTGGTGAGATAAACACACCCGAGTATAAAACAAAACCTGTCAAAGGACGCGTTGATCCTTTCATGAGATCAATGACCATCCAGCACAGTCACGGTGGTGTAGACACGCGGTAGGACTATTAAAAGTATTGGAATCTTTAGACTTCGTTAAAGACATCCAACTAGGAGAAGGACAACTCTGAAGTAACTTCTACGGCATGGAAGCATCCAATGATATCGGATGGTTGTTCAAATAGCCAGATGTTGTTCTTGGCCAGAGAGTGGGATTAACCCAGTGTTTTGCCTTTTTATACTTGAAACATTTCATCAAAGGCATTGATTGATATCATGTAACAGCTTAGATCACTATACCCGACAGTGGGGTTTGGAGTTACATTTACGAATGGACTAACTATGCATGAATGGATACATCTACGGCTTTTAACACAGATATGTGGAAGGAACTAGTCGGGTGCTCAGTTAAGTAGCAGCACGACAATCACACACAGTCATAGGTCTGATGATGATGACGATGATGATGATGTTTGCTTTGTTGCAGACTAAAAAAGAAGGCCTTGTTAAATCTGACATTAAAAAAGGTTCTGTGTCACTTACAAGTCAGGACGTTACTAAGTGAAACGACCAGACACATAAGCTTCAAACGGATACTTTTCATTTAGCTTCAAGTTCTTCGACTGTAGATGCTTTAAGTTGAACTTGTATTTAGATGTTTTCTGTGTAATCCACATTAAATGCTACTTTATTTTAATAATATTACTACAAGCAAGTCATTAAAAGCTATTACGATGCAAGCGTTACTGGGAATGAAAGAAACAATAGCGAGGACAATAAAAGAATAAGATTCAAGTAGACAAAAGATGACGATTAGCATTGAATTTAAATTCTTGAAGACGTAGTAAATCAGGACGTCAGAAGAGAGCCCCACATATGCGAGGGAAGAAATTATTCTTATAGAACTTATGATTAAAAGTAGCAATTTCAACAGGTAAATTATGATACCTATCTACCAATCTACTACTAAGCTTGCATTCGTGAACTCGATGTACCAAAAAGGAAAGATTATCCGAAAATTTACAGTGGAAATATTTATAGAAGAGGCAAAGGAAAGTGACTGAAGCCTAGATGCCAGATGGAGGGCCGTAATGTTGCTGATTCTTCTTTGGATTTTATCGAACCTATCAAACTTACCAAGGGGGACAATAAATGAACAAGATTCAAGCAGACAGAAGATGACGCTTAGCATTGCATTTAAATTTTTGAAGAATTAATTTACACGTCAAAAAACAGCCCCACAATCGCGAGGGAAGAATCTATTGCTTGATATCATGTCACATGTTAACCTTACAAAGATACCTTGAGATCACAATACCCGACAGAGAGGTAGGAGTTATCTTTTCATCGATGTGGATAATTCTAGAATAAACTGTAGATATTTGAAGTAAATAACAAACATTTGAAGTGATTTGCATCCAGTACCTCACGAGCTCATAATTAACGTGGTCGACCACAAGTAAACATGTTTCTCGTCAGTTAATATTGCCTATCGTCTTTTTCTTTTGATTTTATTTATTGCTGTAATTTTGATTAACGGCGAGAAAAATTAGAATTTCTATTGTTACAGTGAGTAGCGATTCCGTACTTTGTAACCAACAATTTAACACGCGACAATTTTAATGAAAAGATGTTTTTGAATTAATAAAAAATTGAAAAGGATAAAAAAAATTTCTGAAGGAATATAAATTATTTTTTGTAATTCAATTCTGTAGATCCTGTATACTCAATCTTAATTTGCATAAAAGAAAGTTTTAATGTTATGAGTTGAACAAGTACATATTGATATCTAGATAGATAGATAGATAATAGACATAATGACAATTAGATATATGAACTGACACAAAGAATAATGTTCTCTCTCTTGATCATCTCTATCTATCTACCTCTCTATCTATCTATCTATCTATCTATCTATCTATACATATATATATATATATATATGCTTGTGTTTTTCGTGCGTCTACGTGGGAAGAGTGTATATATATCATTTTTTTTTCATATTTACAATAATTCCTACTTGGTGGTTATGCTATATCTTTCATCTTTAAATAAAACCATATGATTTGCATGCTGATTTTCTAGGTAAATACAATTTTTAATTCGTAAAATTATCACAACACAGTTTTTTTCTTTGCCATTTGTGATTGTTATGTATTATGTCTGTACATTTGTATATGTATATATATATATATATATATATATATATATATATATATATATATATATATTTTTGTGTATGTGTGTGTTTCGACATATACATTTGATGCAAATAAGAAAAATTTGAAAGAATTATAAGCCTGATGTTTGAAAGTCACGAAATCTACTGTTTGTGAAATATCCAGAAATCTTAAGTCGCAGCATGAAATAAATTTGTGTTTACACTTGAATAAAATATTTCAGGCTGTTCAAATTTCATGCAGTCTTCTTATATAACCGATGTGAAGGTATGTAATGATACACAACGAAAACCAACCAATAATCTATTCAAAGAAATGGCGCAAAAATAGATGGGGTTTAGCTACAATGCTTAAAATTAATATTATTTATTCTAATCTCCATTTTTACTGACTTGGAACATCTAACTAGCAACAGAAGGTAACTCAAGATTTGCTTTAGGGGTAATGGCTTCCTGAGCTGCTAATACTTCATCCTGAATTTTGATTTTAGTCACAAATTCGAAAAGACCACTTTTGAAAATGCTCCAACAATTCTCAGTCGGGCTTATATCCGCCTTAATTGCTTCCCTACAAGCCTGCTGTTTTTAAACCGTAATTTAAATGTGTATCCATTGGTTTCACGAGTACCGTGAGTTGGAACATTGTCGTGCAAGAAAATGGCTTTTTTGTCTGAATGCCACTTAAGCTATGAGTGAATATTAGCTTTTAGGGACGCAGTCAGAACAGAAGATCTCACCATTGTCTACCTTCCAGCTGCTAACCCAATAATTACAATTAATTTCTCTCCAAAACAAAACCCCTTCACATCCGTACTGGAGTCTGTGTCAAACTTATTTATGTCCTTCCTTCAGACACAACCTATTTCGTCGTCAGGGTCATCAAGCTTCACCCTTCACATTTCCGTAAATAGTAACTTATAAATATTCAATTCTATATATTATTTTGCAAAGTTGATCAGATTAATGAAATGACCCGACTTCAAAGAAAGACGAACAATTGGATTGATGTGGGTTTTAAACGTTTCAGCATTCGCGTGAAGTTTTCGGAATATTTATCGGCATAAGGTCTTCAAATAGCTCTTTACTAATTGTTGTGGATTCCGTGAATGGAATCCTGCACAAATAAATAAACAACGCCAGTAATTGAGATAGAAAAATAAGTATATTAAACGTAAGAATACAGACTTGAAGTGAAGATTAGTAGTCCAGGAATGCGGGTTAGCAGAAAGTATATGTACAAGTCTCTGTTAGTAAAGCCGTCATATATATATATATATATATATATATATATATATATATATATATATATATATATATATATATATGGAGTCTTGTATAACTCTCTGAGAACACCCTGTGTCTGTCTCCGTATCTCTCAACCTGTCTCAACGTAACTCGGTATTTAATATTTCACCCACGAGGAATATATGTGGCACAAGGCCAAGTGTGTTTTCATATATTTTCTGATGAATATTCTTGAATTCTGTTACTTCACAAAGTCGTTCTTTTCAAGATACGGCTTTTGGACATTGAGAAACAGTGTAAAATTGTAATAGCCTTGACGACGCTGCATGGTAACGCTCGTGGAACAATGTAATCCTAGCAAAATAGATATTAATACATTACAGATAATTGTGTAAATACACTCGCTGTGTTATATACAGAAATATAATCGCTAATTCAATATCCTTCATATTACTTTTCCTTACTTTTAAAATCTGATTTTATACATGCTAATATATATAGTAGATTTTTCAAGAAAATATACAATCATCTTTAATATCTTGAGAACTAGCATCGAGAGTTGACGTGTCTTGTCATCGATTCCAAGGAGGTATTACTGCGCGCAGGTTAACAGACATTCTTTTTTGTTGTTATTCTCACGGCAATAAGATAATATTTATAAGATACAATTTATAGTGATTGTATATTGTGTGAGTGTCGTAATGACAGTCACAGTGAATTTTCCTATCGCTCATCATTCCGTTTTGTAACCAAACTTAACAACTATATCAAGTAACACTATTTACATTATTCGGACTATTGTCCACATCTTTGTTACTATATTTATCACAACGTTTCGGCCGTTGTACTCTCCGGCCTTCTTCAGGTCGTTGGAATATCGAACTGAACCTTTTATTTCGCTCACTGGGGTAGACATAACCAGGTACTGAACTCACAACTCTTTGGGTCCTGTTACTGGATCAAACCAACGCCTTTATCCACTGTGCCATGTGTCCTTAAGGATAAAGGCGTTGGTTAGATCCAGTGACAGGACCCAAAGAAATGTGAGTTCAATACCTGGTTAAGGCAGTGGAGAACATGGAGAAGTAAATTAACAGGAGATAACTGATAACTGACATCCAGTAGACATGGCACGTGAAACTAGAACAGTCTACCCCAGCGAGTGAAATAAAGGGTTCAGTTCGTCATTCCAACCGCCTGAATAAAGCCGGAGCGTACAATGGTCGAAACGTTGTGACAAATATGGCAACAAATAGGAGGACAATAATGTAAATAGTGTACATAATACCTCATCTCAGAAATATAGACAGACAATATACAATATGCATGCGACCAGACCGTAAATCGCATCCCCACCTTTTTTTTTGTTTTGCATCTGTAAGATCATCATATTGTGATAGCAGCTGTTGATGTATGACGTCAGAACGCCAACGATGTATAAGATCAACAGAAACTATTTGAATTTATCCCTTAGTTCGAATAATGTAAATAGTGTACATAATACGTCATCTCAGAAATATAGACAGATATATCAAGTAAATCTCTCTTTCGACATATAGATGTGTCATGTTTTTGTCAGTCGACCCAGTACTTTCTGAGCGACTGTTCGGTTGAACTCTCTTCCTACGGACGGGAGGAACCCGAAGGAGGCGACGCCGAAGGGCGGAGTCTCCTTCGAGGAGGTAAAACCGGCCCTGAACCCGTTTATACGGGCATATTTTTGGCCGAGCCCACGGTCTCGGAATGCCTACGTTAAAAAGGCCTTTTGCCACATGACATCCTCGTGGGAGGGGGGGATGACTGAATATCGTCATGTTTTTTCTTAGTACTGAATATCATTGTTTATAATGTTATTATTATCTTTGCATGACCATTTTTACCTTCTGAAAATGACAGGAAACAATTTGGTGGCTGGATCAAAAATATTTACATTATTCATGTCTTTCGGACGGTTGTCCTTATCTGTTTTGCTATACGGCCCAGTTGATGAAAATGTTGGTTGTGTAATCTAAACCGTGACAAAGAGTACAATACTCAGTAAAAGCAGAGGGATCAAAAACTTGGAGATGTTGAGTTACTAAAGGCAATCAACTGAAACTGTGATATCCAAAAAAACACATAACACGTGGAATTATAACAACCTAACCACGTGGACAAAATAAAAGGTTCGGTTCGAAATTCCAACTTATAACACCTGAAGAAGATCGGAGCTTAGAACGACCGAAACATAAAAATTAAAGTTAAGTAAACAGTCCTAAAGATATTTTTATGTTTAACGTTCTTTTTTTTTTTTTTATAAAATTCAACCTTGCCAACCGAACGCTCCTTTGTGGCCGAGTCGGTTAAGGCACGTCAGCGTAAATGACGGTTCCGTATAGGATGCAGGTTCGATTCCTGTCAAAGGACGAATATTTTCTATGAAAATTTCTCGGACATTCAGGCCGGTAAATGTTACTTAATACTGTTTATTATAAACAGAGCATTTACTTAAATACTTGTATCTATAAAAAAAAAAGAACGTTAAACATAAAAATGTCTTTAATAAATAAATTGTCGGACTTTGTCCATTTCTTAATATATGAGTCCTAAAGATGTAAATAGTGTAAAACGTTGTATAATACCAACGCAATTAACCTGAATTGTAACTTTTAATATCTGAAAAACCAAATTAACTTTCTATCACCAACGATCTGGCACCAAATACTCCCCATGCTGTATGAATGGTTGCACTCTTAAATAGGCGATTTAATATGCAACTCTATTGGGACTCAATGTTATATACAATTTATTGCTAAGAATGTTGGGGAAATTCACAGTTCCTTATACTACTCTAGAAAATACCATATACCATATGCATTGTTCGGTATTGACAAGTGTCGTGTCAGGCGAAAGTGCATAAAAGTCATATCCGTGATGGACGATTCAATTCTATTTACCCAGCCTACAACCTCTTTCCCACGGACGAAACATTGCAAAGCTCTTACGATTCTATAATTATTTCCAAAATGTCCTGACGAGCCACATTTCTTAGTTTCTACCAATACATGTACACAGGGTCGAACCGTTTTCATTCTCTTTGTATTCCATTGGTAAGAAGGAAGTTCTTCTCCCCAAGACTCCCAAGATGTTGCTTTCTCGACTAATAAAATAATCACCTCTTCAATTTCAGGAACAACTGTCATCTATCCTATATATCCTCATAATCAACACTCCTTACGTACATAAAAGAATCCAATTCAGTAAACATCTACCTTGAGTGTCCCTGGAGCCTTGTATTGAAGAAGATTAACAGAAAAACGTACTAATGTCGCTTGTCCGCCTCTTTAACTGAAGTTAATGACGTTCTCTCTGTTTTATAATTTAGTGGTATGAGTGTTTTTTTTATAATCCATAAGAAGAAGTTTCTTTCTTTCTTTCTTTCTTTCTTA